GATGGGTGGAAGGATTCACCAGAAACAGAGTGGGAAACAGGCAAGTAGATCCACTGAAATACAACCCTGAGGGGAGCAGTGGGCAAGATAGGAGAGGTCTGCTGCACCATATGGGTCATGAGATGATTGAACTTGTGTTGTAGTGGCTGGCAGTAGCTTGATAGCAGTCTTTAACCCTTGCAACCACCAGGGAGGCCTCCGCATTTTGAATCATGTGAGTAATAAATGCATTATAAAATTTCCAGTTAGAAAAAAAGAGGCACTGGAGATAATTATGCAACACATGTAGCTGCTCATTGTTAGTTCTTATTTGCTTCTCCTACCCCTTCCAACCTTTGACCCCCTCCCCCCTTTCTTTCCCTCTTAACCTCAGAGCGCTCAGGATGTTTATGGATATCCACTAGGTTGTTTTTTTTTTTTTGTAAGATTTCTCTTCATTTATGCATACAAGAACTGGGTTGAAGGCTGCACGTGGGGGTGGGGGAGTGGGAGGATTCACCAGAGACAGTGCAGAGCAGAGCAGGTGCAGTGGGAGAGAAAAGAGGGCTGCTGCACCAGCGGGTCAGCTCCCTGGTAGGGGGCAACACTCATGCTGCAGTGGCTGGCCATAGCTTGATAGTGCTGGGACTTTAACAGCTGCACCACTATGGAGACCCCTTCACTAGTTTTTGAGTATTTTTAGTCATCCACTCTTCTCTGGTGAATCCTCTCACTGTACCTGCGCCTCTGGCCTGTACCCCAGTTCTGTATGAATAAATGAATCTTTAAAAAAAAAGGGGGGGAGGCAGAATAGCTAGAAAGACTCTTCTCCAAAGAAGAAATGCAGATGGCCAACAAGCAGATGAAAAAATGTTCAACATCACTTGTAATAAGGGAGATGCATATTAAAACCACAATGAGATAATCACCTCACCCCAGTGAGAATGGCACATCTTCAAACAACTAGCAACAAATGTTGGTGAGGATGTGGAGAAAAAGGAACTCTCCTGCACTGCTGGTGGGAATGCAAACTAGGACAACCACTATGGAAAACTGTTTGGAGGTTCCTCAAACTGCTAAACATGGAGCTTCCCTACGACCCAGCAATCCCACTCCTAGGTATCTACCCCAAAAGACAGAAAAACACTAATTCAAAAAGACACCTGAACCCCCATGTTTATTTACAATTGGAAAGACAAAATATGCCCCAAAATAGATGACTGGATTAAAAAGATGTGGTACAGGCCCTCCCTGGTGGCGCAGCGGGTTAAAGCACTGCACTGAGAAGCTAAAGCCACTTCTGCATGAGTTCGATTCCCGCCTGCCCCGGAGGTGACCACATGGTGTGGCAGACCTCTCCTGACCCACCCGCTGCTCCCCTCAGCAGTGTACTTCGTCGATCTGCCTGTTCTGTACCCCACTCTGTTTCTGGTGAATCCTTTCACCCTCCGCATCTCTGGCCTATACCCCAGTTCTGTACAAATAAATAAATAAATCTTTAAAAAAAAAAAAGATGTGGTACATATACACAATGGAATATTACTCAGCAACCAAACACACACACACACACACACACACACGCCTTTTGCAGCAACATGGATGGAGTTGGAAAAGACCATGCTTAGTGAAATAAGCCAGAAAGAAAAGGAAAAATACTGGATGGTTTCACTTATAGCACGAGTATAAAGGACCAGGGAGAAAATAATAATGATGATGGACAACTATATACTAGAGACATTTTATAGGGGTGGGATGGGATCAAAAACGGTGGGGGGAGGAAAGTGCACTGGACTATGGTGATGGGAAGCCCATGGGGATTACAACTGAGATGGAAAAAGGCACAGAATGATGTAAAAATAAACTATTATTAAAAAAATTCTATTGGAATGTGAAGAAGAAATTGAAAAATCATCACACACCATGCATATGTCATATTTGTATGTCTGTTTGTGGTATTAAGATACAAATATTTATTACAGTACATTGAAAGTTTATTTACAACTTAACTGAAAATTCTTGGGCACAAAAAACAGCGGATCTTCATTAACCAGGTTTTTTTTTTCCTTTCTTTTTTCTTGCTACTGAGACTTTAAAGATGTTTTCTTCCTTCACTTCCTTCCTTGTACTCACTGAGACTATAATCACTGCAAGTTGGATGGATGAAACTCCAGGACAACAAATTACCAGGAGCAAAACTCCCGCTGTGACGTTTCCTTTTAGATCCCAAGCATTCCAGCTAACAATGATTAAGTAATCAAACTCGAGGTGCCACGGGGGGAAAAAATAGATGCCAAAATTTGGCAAGTTTTATCTTTTTTTCGACTTATGCTCCATGACAATTTGGGGAACGCTCTGACTCCTGTCGCCCACGCAAGCTGGCACCCCCTCCTTCACTCACTTTCGAAGATACGCGTGTTCGAGCAAAGTCCCAAGCTGTCACTCCAGCACAGTACTTAAAGAATTGGCGGGGTTCTTAAGCGTCAGAGCGGGAGCTACAGACACACCTGGGCTGATAAGAAACGTGCCAAGGTTTGCGGGTTGGAATTCCTGGTATCGCGGCTATGCCGCTGGCTCAGACACTGAAAAGGGTGGAGCTGAGCCCAGGTCTCCACTACTGGGTTTGCTTTGCTTGTTGAAGCCACCCGCAGGTCAAAGTGAGGTTTGCCCCTAGAGCACACTTCAGGATCCTGCAGCCAGAACTGGACATTAGTAAGCCCTCCCAACTCCTAAATTAAGGCCTTTTCTAAAGCGTACAGAGAGGAGGTAAAGAGGTACAGTCCCAGAGTCCTCTGCAGACAGAACCTTCCAGGACTGGTGGCAACTGGAAGAATCAGGTCCAGACCGCGGGACATTCGCTGGCTGTGGACCGGCGCCCAGCTGTCCTTGATCTTCACATCAGTCGGGAAATGAAAGTAAAACCTGTCTAGGAACAGACCCAGCTGGAGGCTGGCAACAAGTAGGTCGCACCCTGAGATAAACAATGACAGCCTGCTTGTACTAGGCAGGGTCAACGTCAACGCGAAAGAGCCTGACACGCAGGGGATACTTAAAGGAAAAGATGGGAAATGAGTGATGATCGGGAAAAAGCAAAGTAGTTAGGCTGGGAAAGGTGTCTGCCAACAGCCTTGCCACCTGTTTGCGGTCAGTCAAGGGAACTGAACCCAACCAGTATGCTGCGCGGCACAACTCTCACCCTCCGCATCCCGAGCTCTTTCCAGAGCCAGAGCCCGGATTCAGCAGCCCCTCACCTCACCCTACCCCACCCCCAAATCTGGAAACTCAGGTCCGCTCAGGTGATTCCTTTGGGGATATGTCCTCAGAATACATAACGTCGGCGAGGCCATTCCTTCCTTCTCCAGGTGTCACGTCCACGTTCAGCCCTCACTGTTGAAAAGGAGGCTGTGCAAGCAGTGAGCGGTCCATACCAGACAGGTCCGCGACTCAGCTCCTTGCCGTCTGTGTGCTGGGGCTCAGAACCAATATGGCAGCGCAGGCAGGAAGCTTAGAGATCTGCTGGGGGCACTATAGAGAAGGAAACTAGGCAAGGGAGGCGACTGTCTGTGTCCACACAGTGAATTACAATAAGGTAAGGATATTAGCTGTCTGCACACTCCCAGTAGTTCCACACCCTTGGCCACTCAATCTAGACCCTGGGCTTCGGTATCTGCGATGAGGCTAGTAAGTGATTTAAGAACACCAAATTCTGTCCCTCGCCCCTTCCTTACCCTCTTGCTCCCCCACCCCCACCCCATGGAAGAAGTAGGGAATCCCTTAGATCTCAGTCCCCTCACAAATTTGGCCGCCAGAAGGGAGGAAAGAAAGTGAAGATAAGCAACATGATGGAAGCACAAATGAGTGACAAACGTGCTTGGGGTGATTCATCATGAACAGGCATAAATCCATGGGCGGGGGCTAGGACTCTCTACCCCCTTGATGACGACTGCATTTTAGAAAATTCCTTCCTGGTACCAGTTGTTCATTCCTGCTTGTTGAGGGGAGGGGGTAGTTAGGGTTCTGTTGCTTTCTACCTTTGGTGTAAGGTTGGGCAAATACTTGCCTTCTCTGAATTGCATTACCTTTCCCACCTAACTCTAGGGTAGGTGTGAGGATCAAAAGAGACCAGGATGTGGCTGTGCTTTGTAAATTGTAGAGCGATTAACATACATGAAGCATTAGTGTGCTCCCTGGCAGTAAATCCTCACGTTTACAATGGGTGAGTGCCGGCTCCAAGGGCTGCCAGGCGAACTCTCAGGTTATAACCTTATAAGGCATAATTGGATTACAAGGGGGTGGGGGCGGAGGATCTTTCGACCTCATTTTGATTATTCCTTTATTTCCAAATAGGTAAGAACATTCTGAAATTTCAGATAACCAGCCCCCGCCCTCCCCCAAATCCCAGTTCTCAAATCAGTCTTTCTAGTCTTATCCCTATTGCGAAATCTGACCAGCGCATCCCAGAACTCGGGAGTCTGTCGTTCTGGGATGGGGATAGGGGTTATGGAGTGCCACTGGTCTCAATGGTACTCTGTACACTGAGGGTCCTGGGGGATTGGCGTGGGGTCTGGGGTCCCAGCCAAATCAGGCGCCCAGCCTGCAGGGGGCGCTGTCCACTCGGGGCTACAACTTAGGAGGTCAGGAGCTCAGGCCATTGGCGTGGTACCTCCTTCGCGTTGGCTGTTGCAGTTCCAAGCCAAGAGGCTGGGGCTGCATAGATGCCAGGCAAGGACCCCAAGAAATTGTACCGGCCCTACTTTGCCTGGTTTAAGCTCTGGAAGCAATGCCCAGAGTCAGGGCTATGGCCTTTCCTGTAGCAATCTCCTGGAGATCATCCTTGAGCCCGGCATGAAGGACCCCCTTCCCCAAACCCTACCCTCCCCCAGGCAAGCAAAAGCACGCGCGCCGAATGCAGGAACGCGCGCGCCCGAGGGAAGAAAGGGAGGGCGCCAGGGCAGCACAGGCCCCGCCTCCGGTGCTCTATAAAAACCGAGGAACCACAGCCCGCCAGTCAGTGGTTTCTTGGTGACACTAGGCAGAACAGCTCTAGCCTTGCCACTTCTGGTTCCCCACCGCAGCTTGGATATTGGGGTTTTACCACTGCCAGAGCGACGTCTTGGAACTTCTCCCAGATCTTGACAGATCCAGCCCCCCAACAGGTGGGTGTCACAGGCCAGTCGGGTTAAAGCGAGGGCCCTTGCCCAGGCCGGAGCCTGGAAGCGTTGGGTGAGGGGTACAACTCACTTTGTCGGCGGGTCCTCTGCAGGGTGGGTCCCACACGCCGAGCCCAGCGCGCGCATATAATTGGAATTCCAGAGACCCTGTCCCCTCTGCCGGGTCAGCCAAAGTCCCGGAGTTGATCAGGGAACCTCTGGAGACTGGAGCGGGGCAGCGGCCTCCTCAGCTGGGCCTGTCCCCCGCGGGCGGGTGAAATACGGCTGGCGTCTCGCTGCGCGGGTGGGAGATAAGTGTCTGAGCCTGGCAGAGCGCGGGGTAAAAGGGCCCGGGCCGGGCCCCCGCCCGCGGTGCTTCTCCCGGTGGTGCTGCAGGCGGGGTGCTCACGCTCGACTCTGCTCTTCTTCAGGGTCTGCGCATCGCCACCGAGATGAAACTGGTTCCGGTCGCCCTGATGTACCTGGGCTCCCTGGCTTTCCTAGGCGCTGACAGCGCACCGCTCGACGTGGCGTCGGAGTTTCGAAAGAAGTGAGTGGTGGGCTGCGCCTTTTTCAGTCTCGAGGACAGGGGAAACAGGCCGTTGGTGCCAAGAGAGTTAGAAGGGAACCCGGGCAGGATGGGTCGGCACTTCGCCTGGACGCCTGCGAATAGACTATTTGTGTTTTCCAGATGGAATAAATGGTCTCTAAGTCGTGGGAAGAGGGAACTCCGGGCGTCCAGCAGCTACCCCACTGGGATCGCTGATGTGAAAGCCCGGCCGGCACAGACTTTCGTTCGGCCCCAGGACATGAGAGGAGCCTCCGGAGGTCCCCAAGACAGGTAACTACAGCTGGCATCGCCGCGGGGTCGGCAGGGAGAGCGCCCCCTCTCCACCACTCTGGCCCACGGTATTGTCAGGGTTGAATGTCAGACAACCGTAGAAATTTCCAGCCCCCTTTGGCCCTTGAATAGCTCTCTTTCTTAGCGGCTAGGGTCGAAGCCCTCCTCGATGCCCTCCTCATGTTGCTTTCCCTCCCCTCTCCAGCAGTCCAGACGCCGCCCGCATTCGAGTCAAGCGCTACCGCCAGAGTATGAACAACTTCCAGGGCCTGCGGAGCTTTGGCTGTCGCTTCGGGACGTGCACGGTGCAGAAGCTGGCGCACCAGATCTATCAGTTCACAGACAAGGACAAGGATGGCGTGGCTCCGAGGAGCAAGATCAGCCCCCAGGGCTATGGGCGCCGGCGCCGGCGCTCGCTGCCCGGGGCCGGGCCGGGCCGGACTCTGTTGTCCTCGGAGCCGCTGGCACGCGGGTCTCGGGCCTCCCGGGCGCATCAAGTGCTCGCCGCTGTCTTTAGCATTTAGGTGCCTGTGGCAGCTGCGAACAGCCGCGGAAGCATAAGCTCGCGCCTCCCCGGGCCGAGGGATTCCCAAGCCGAGCTCCCAATCCATGGGGAGGGGGCCGAGACAGCTCTTGCAGAGACCCGGAGTCCGGGAGGCACCGTCCCGCGGCGAGTCTGGGCTGTGCAGGGGCACTTCCTTCTCTGTGACCGCGTTCCCTTCGTCTTAATCCGGCCCAGATGCCGCCCGGGTGGCAGAGGAATCTGAGGGAGTGTCAGCCAGGCTCACAGAGAAGAGAAACTGAGAATTAAATGCGGAGACCCCCGGACAGGGGTCTGAGCCACTGCCGTGCCCGTCCACAAACTGATTTTTCACGGAGTGCCACCCCACGGGTGCAAGCCTCACTATTACTTGAACTTTCCAAAACCTATAGAGGAAAAGTGCAATGCGTGTTGTATATTCAGAGGTAACTATCAATATTTAAGTTTGTTGCTGTCGAGATTTTTTTTGTAACGTCAAATATAGAGATATTTTTGTACTATATATTATATTAAGGGCATTTTAAAGAAAGTGTATGGTTCCCCATTATTTTAATATGTGAATGTCTCGTCGAGGCGTAACGTGCTGCGTGTTATGTGTGAGTGTGCGTGAGCTTGATTACCTCTTGTGGAAGAAGGAAACACCGTGTCTCTGTATAATCTATTTACATAAAGTGGGTGATATGCGAAACAGCAAACCAATAAACTGTCTCAGCGCTGATTCATTTTCGGCTCACGAGTCTTGGAAGGAGGGTGCCCCCGTTCCCGGTGCGCCAGGGAAACTTGGGGTCCGCAGGCAGGCACGGGGAGGTGAAACGACTGCAAGGGTGCTTGCTGGCTCCTCGCGGCGCGGGTTGAGCAGTCACGATCCCACTTTCCTTGTGGAATGCCCGAGGCGCGTGTCCTAAGAGCCCGCCAGAGCTTCGCGGAGACGCCCGAGGTCACGGCCTCGCGTGGCAGCCGGGGCGGGCGGGGTAGGGTGAGTCTTAGTGGGGAGGCGAGCCTGGACTCTACAGGTTGCGCAAGAGTCCCAGACTTAGGGAGTTTGCTCAAGGAACCCTGCGCGAAAACGCGCCTTGGAGAGTTGGGGTGGTCTGTAATGCCTTCAAAGTGAAAAGTGTACCAGAGCTGCGGCGGTTAGAAGCGAGGCCAGCAAAGTTAGAAGGTAGGCCAGCAAAAAGTCCAGACCCCTTTTGGGAGACCGGCTGCTGGGCCAGGAACCCCAGGGCTCTGCTCTCCAGAATGCACGCAGAGAACCCGACGGCTCATCAGCGAGGCTGCGGCGCCCCCTGCCGGCCTTCCCGGACCACCTCGGAGCTGTCAGGCGGTACGTGCGGTTTAATAAGTCCTCCTACGTGGGAGTCGGCACACAGCCCTAATGAAAGAGGAAAGAAAAAAACAGTTTGCAGATGCCAACCAGGGCCGCCCCCCCACCCCAGACCTGCACGGCGGCTCCGGGTTCTGGGACTGTGACTCAGCGCCCACACGCTGTGCAGCGTGCAGCTGCTGGCCGGAGGCGGGCGGGACTGACGGACGTGCTGCCGGAACCGTGCGCCTCAGAGAGCCTGAGACCTTCATTGTTCCCCCTCCCCTCGCCCCTCTCCTCTTCCTTCCTCCTTCCCAAGCTTTTTTCAGTTTTTTTTTTCTCCACCTCTCTCCAGTTTTCCTTTCTCTTCCTTCCTTCCTACTTGCTTTCTTTATACTTTATCGCCTTAGGAGTTTGACCCCAGTTCCCCCGTGATAGAAGCTTGTGTCTTGGCCCCATTTAGTGGAGGGCAGAGAACAAGGGAATAATTCCAACAGGAAGGGGTGGTGATAGCGACACCCTGATTTTGATTTCTCTGCCACATTTATTTCATCCATTATCCTGAAGACCCAAAGTGGAGACTTGCTTGCTTATGTTTTTTCCAGAAAATTTTCATGATCTTTCCATTTCTAAGCATGACTGAAAACGTCGGTGCTTATAAGTGATCTTAGCAACCTTCTTGATAAAGAAAAATCTGAGAGTGATTTTGGAGAATGAAAATATTTCTAGGGCAACCTGACTTTTCCTGGGTCTTTTGCCTTAATTGCACATTAGCTTCTGAGCCTAGGATAGTTGCTTCCAGAAGATGCTTGCATATACTTCATACATTGAAACATTGATCCTAGGTCTGGGGTCTAGGGATAACTTGCTTCTGAAGCAGTTTCAGTTAGGACATAGGTCCTAGACCATGAGATTTCCAAGACCAGACAAGACCTCAGTTGTAAGCACCTGGCTCTTCTCCTATTTGATTTTTCGAGTTTCAAAAGAATGGAGGGGTTACGAATACAGCAACAGATGGTCCCTGTCCTTAAGCGTCTTTTAATAAATATATACTTAAAGGGAGTTCTGCGCGAGGTACTGCAAAAAGGTACAGGGTATGTATGAATGAGTGACTAAAAATTCCAAGGAAATAGGATTCTGTGTCAATGAATGGTTCTGGGTGGTCTGAAGGGGCTACAAAAACCTCAGAAGGGAGCGAATCCTCCAGTATTGCAGACCGTGGTTGGGGATTAAACACTTACCCTTTTCCTTGAGCCAAGGTTTGTCCCATAGCCACAGAACCACCCAGCCAAACCTCACCCTGGCAGAGATTTACCCAGCAGGCAAAGCTGCCAAAGGCAGGTTGGGCATTAGCTTAGGGCTGTTCTGAACAGGGATCAAGCGTCTAGCTTTGTGCCTGAGGAATCTTATGACTGCCCTTGGTGAATCCAAGACCAGTGAAGGAGATAGGTCAACTCTGAGATGAAAGAGGCAGCTGTTCAGCTGGAGTTCTTCCCAACTGAAAATCCTGTGACTGAAGACAGGGCTGAAGAGACCAGGACATTCCTAATAATACTGGTCTGGAATCATTGAAGGTCACTGTCAAACCCTAGGGACCTGCTCTGTGAGCCATTCAAGCTAGCTCAGGGATTCTTTTCACAAGGTGTTGAAGTATGTCAGGAAAAGCCTCCTGATGGCTGGAACACATCCTTTATCAACAGTGATGAGTCATTTGTGGAATGATCCCACCTGTCTGCAGCTGAAGACTTGCCGCAATTTTTATCTTTAGCTACTGTTGCTGGCAGTGGGAATGGAATCATCCATTTGTAATCAAACACAGGCTACCAGGAGATTTCTTGAAAAGCTAACACCTTCACCGAACAGCTAAGGGTGGAAGGGAGTGATGGAGAGTCATGGAAACAGGTTCTTTTTTTAGCACCTACTTCATATCAGACATTCTCCTACTCACTCTATACACCTTATCTCATTTAATTCCTTACAGCAGCCTTGTGAAGTAGGTGTTATTATCTCTGTAGATAAAGAAACTAAACCTCAGAGACATAAATTAACTTAACTAGGGTCACACAGTGAGTGGCAAGTGCTGGAGCCTGGATTTACACCCAAGTGCTAAAGGCTATTTTGATATTATGAAGACACAGAGGGTAAAGAGGATAATTTTAACTTTTGGGTTCTCAGGCCAGATGTCCTCAAGTATCCTCTACTACTGGAATGGCTAGGGTAGGTGATTTATACCTGTGGTTCTGAAACATTTACATGAGGCTGGTAGGGCTAGAAAGGAAAATTCCTTCAGCAGAATGCTCAGTGGGTAAAAACAAAATAAATGAAGTCAGTTAGGAAATTCTTGGTCCTGGTTTGAAGCAGGAATTAAACTTCAGGAATAGTCTCTCTCCACCCCAACCCCAGTTAAGCCACTGATCTCACTGGTCTGTGCTGTCAAATATAGTTAGAATATACACTGAAGGCATCAAGAGCTGACTTCTGAAGGAAAGGCCGAGCTATTCCTGACCAAACACAGTCCCACACTGTGGAAGAACACCTGTGTCTACAAAGCTGCGAATACAGCTTCCACCCTTGAGGTGGAACCTTTTGTCTTTGGCAGCCACTGCCCCAGGCAGCTTTTCAAAGGATGTTGTAAGCTGACTTTGAAAGAGGCATGAATACCTCCCTCCTTTCCTGGCCAGGAAGGAGAAGGCCTGTTTTCCAGGGCCCACAGAAGTTCTGCTGAAGCCTGATTGGAGACTTAGTCTTCATCTGCATGAGAAGAAGGGTGAGGCTAGATAGCTATCTGGTGGTCCCACTGGTTTTGTTCCAGATCTATTTTGGAACTTTCTGGAAAAAAAAATAAATGACTATGACCACACAAGCAGCTGAATTTATTGGCTTATTGTACATTTATCTAACTGCAAGAAAGCAGCTCTGAGATTAAGATGAATTTTTAAAAAGATTTATTTATTTATGCATACAAAAACTGGGATGTGGGCCAGAGGTGTAGTAGGAGGTGAGAGGATTCACCAGACAAAGTGGGGAGAAGAACAGGCAGATCTACTGACAAACTGCTGAGGGGAGCAGTGGGTGAGAAGGGAGAGGTCTGCTGCGCGATTTGATCAGAATTTGTGCTGCAGTGGCTGCTGATAGCTTAAAAGTACTGTCTTTAGGGCCCTCCCTGGTGGCACAGTGGGTTGAAGCACTGCACTACGAAGCTTAAGCCACTTCCGCATGAGTTCGACCCTGCCCCGGAGGAGATCCACATGGCGTGGCAGACCTCTCCTGACCCTTCCGCTGCTCCCCTCAGCAGTGTACTTCGTCAATCTGCCTGTTCTGCTCCTCATTCTGTCTCTGGTGAATCCTCTTACCCTCCGCATCTCTGGCCTGTACCCCAGTTCTATATGAATAAATAAATAAATCTTTAAAAAAAAGTACTGTCTTTAACTCCTATGCCACCAGTGAACACCTAAGATGAATTTTTGAGGTGTAAAAATGTATTTCACTCAAACACAGTATTACTCAATGTAGCAAAAAATATTTACCTTTCATACCACTCCCATTAACATTTCAGTATCACTAAAAAATATACCCCCTTGGACATTTTGGTATTTTATGTCTATACACACTTAAAATGTGAACTTCAGTGCAGAGAGCTGAATGAAACATACTTCTCAGTAGAAAGCAAATTTTTTATACAAGGCTTATCTCTCTCCTGTTTTTTTTTTTTTTTAAAGATTTATTTACTTATGCATACAGAGCTGTGATACAGGCCAGAGGTGCAGGGGCCATGAGAGGATTCACCAGAGACAGAGTGGGGAGCAGAGTAGGTAAACTGATATAGTACATTGCTGAGAGGAGCAGCCAGGAGACAGGAGAGGTCTGCTTCTCCATGTGGTCAGGGGGATTGAACTAACAGTGAAGTGGCCTTGGCTGGGTTGCAGTGCTGCGGTTTTACCCGTCGTGGAACAAGGGAGGGCCCTGGCTTCTCTCTTGCTTTGATTATTTTTCCCTTTCATTACCACAGCCCTTTACATCTCCTTCATTGGAATCCCCTTTAACATGTCTGATATATTTTCTTTATGCTGGGTCCTCCCTGGTAGTGCAATTGGTTAAAGCACAGCACTATGAAGCTATCCACAGCCATTGGCACAAGTTCAAGTTCAATTCATCTCCCCCTCTCCCCACCTCTGGCCTGTATCCCAGTTCTTGTGTGCATAAATAAATAAATCTTTAAAAATTTAATATATATTTATAATCTTATAAAATCTGATGTGTTGTCTTGTGAGTGTTTTTATCATAAAAATACCTTATGTCAAAATATTTCTTACTTTTCTCACTGTACATTAAAACTTTTCCTAGCAGATTGTTTTTACTGCTGCATGCTACACCATAACATAATCCATCACATTTTACTTCTCTT